AGGGAGGAGGGTGAGGGGTTGGGAGTATGAGTGGGAGGGTGGGCATGGTGGGAAGAATCACTATGTTCCTAAAGTTATAATTATGAAGTATATGAAGTTTTAAACTATAAAGCTGAATAGTTCTGCATACATTTTTATGTACTTCTAAGGGTACAGTTTAAAAACTTGCCCTGAGACCCCAAATCCCCTTAAGCTGGGGGTAAAAATACCACCTTAATTGTTAAAGTGATCATATGGATAGGATTAAGGATCTGGTAATAACAGAATTAAAAAGCAGTGAATGCTTCAACATGGAAAGCAGTCCACACAGCAGACCTCATAGAACGATAATTGGTTTAAATAGTACTCTGACCTCAAAATCAGCCCTTAAGGCATTCTAGTCTGGCTTAAAAGTCTAGGAGAGCATTTCATGCATGGAAAGCCAAGACACTGTGGCAAACAATCTCCTACATGAAGGACCCTGGTGGGTGAGATCCCAGAGGAAAGAAGTGATCATCAAAGAAGGAGGTTTTCTCTGAAGAGAAGAGAGAAGTTCCGGTTTGCTTATGGCCTTGTCTAAATACTGACAGAGTTTGCGCATTCAAAAGGCTTTCATAGCCCAGGTAGCTCAAGTCAAGAGCCACAAGTGATCACTGACATGATACATAAGAGTGTTAATTGTTAAATCAACAAGAGACAGTGTGCACTAACTTTTGAAACAGGACATCTGTCTTCAAAGAGTTGTATTATAACTGTGTCTAAGTTCCCAAAAGATGTATCATTCTTGGGTGCTTCTTTACAGTTAATTAAGTTTCTAAAAAAAAAAAAAAAAAAGTGAAATTAACTTCAAGATACAATGACTTTGTACAGCCCTGCCTCCACTGTTGAGAAACAACAGTTGTTTTGTTTTGTTTTAGTTTTAGTTCTTTTTCATGCAAATTATTGAACTCTCTTATTTATTTATTTATTATTTTTTGACAGGCAGAGTGGACAGTGAGAGAGAGAGACAGAGAGAAAGGTCTTCCTTTTGCCATTGGTTCACCCTCCAATGGCCGCTGCAGCCAGCGCCCCGCGCTGATCTGATGGCAGGAGCCAGGTACTTATCCTGGTCTCCCGCGGGGTGCAGGGCCCAAGTACTTGGGCCATCCTCCACTGCACTCCCTGGCCACAGCAGAGAACTGGCCTGGAAGAGGGGCAACTGGGACAGAATCCAGTGCCCCGACCGGGACTAGAACCCAGTGTGCTGGCGCCGCAAGGTGGAGGATTAGCCTAGTGAGCCGCGGCGCCAGCCTGAACTGTTTACTTAGTATAGAGTTGATCTTCTGTGTACAGTTAATCAAAAATGGATCTTAGTGGAGAAGGGGACTGGGAATGGGAGAAAAGTGGGAGAGTGGGAGGAATCACTATATTCCTAAGGTTGTACTTACAAAATTCATGAAGTTTGTATTCCTTGAATAAAAGATTTCTTTGGGATAAAATAAATAAAAATAAATAAATAAATAAAAATACATTCACTTAACTGCAACCTCTTACAATATTTGAACTTGAAGGCCAGTGTTGTACTTCATCACGTTACGCCAGCACCTGCAATGCCACCATCCCAGCTGAGTGCCAGTTAACATCCTGGCTGCTCCTCTTCTGATCCAGCTCCATGCTATTAATTTGCCTGGGAAAACAGCGAAGATGGCACAAGTACTTGGACCCTGCCACCCATGTGGAGGATCCAGATAGAGTTTTAGGCTCCTGGCTTCTGCCTGGCCCAGCCTCAGCTGTTGTTGCAATTTGAGGAGGCAACCAGCTGATGGAAGCATTTGTGGTCTCTTCTTTCTCTCCCCTAATCTGTCTCTCACACCCCTCCATAACTCTCAATATAATAACTCAACTATTTTTGAAAAAAAAAAAAAAAAGATGAATCAAAGACCCAAATGTAGACTGAAAACTATAAAACTGCTAGAAGAAAACATAGAAGAAACACAGGCAACCAAAGCAAAACTAGACTAATGGGACTATATTATATTCAGAAGTTTCTGTGCAGCAAAGAAAAAAAAATCGAGTTTGAAGAGACATGTGCCAGAATGGAAGAACACATATGTAAGCCATTTAGTGAACAAAAGGAATATCTGGCAAGCATATCAGCAACTCAAAAAAAACTCAACAACAAAGCAACCAATTCAGTTAAGAAATGGGAAAATGATCTGAATAGACATTTTTCAAAAGAAAGAGTACAAATGGCCAAAAATGTGGATGAAAAAAAAAAAAAAAAACCTCAGTATCACTTGCCATCAGGGAAATACAAATCAAACCCACAAAGAAGGTTGGCACTGCGGCTCAATAGGCTAATCCTCTGCCTGCAGCGCTGGCACACCGGGTTCTAGTCCCGGTTGGGGCGCCGGATTCTGTCCCAGTTGCTCCTCTTCCTGTCCAGCTCTCTGCTGTGGCCCGGGAGTGCATGGAGGATGGCCCAAGCGCTTGGGCCCTGCACCCGCATGGGAGACTAGGAGAAGCACCTGGCTCCTGGCTTCGGATCAGCATAATGTGCAGGCCGTAGCGCGCTGGCCACAGCGGCCATTGGAGGGTGAACCAACGGAAAAGGAAGACCTTTCTCTTTGTCTCTCTCTCTCACTGTCCACTCTGCCTGACAGAAAAAAAAAAAAAGACACAAAGAAATATCATCTCACTCTAGGCAGATGACTTCCTCAAAAAGGTAGAGAGCAAGAGATGCTGGCAAGGATATGGAGAAAGAGGAAATGTTGCACCTTGTTGGTGAGAATGTAAATTAATGCAGCCACTACAGAAAAAAAATGGAGATTTCATAAAAGAAAGTAGAAATTGAACTGCCTTATGAAAGAGCAATCACGCTAGCAAGTATATATCTAAAAGGCACAAACTCACTGTATCAAAGAGATACTTGCTTTACCATGTTTAGAGAAATACTGTTTACAATATCTGAAAAATGGGCAACCAAGAAGTCTCTCATCATATAAATGGATAATAAAAATGTGGTATTTACATGTATGCAATGGAATACTATTCAACTATTAAAAAATAATGAAATCCTGTCATTTGCAACACAGCGGATGGAACTGTAGGGGAATTTTGTCGGGAGAAATAAGGCACACACAGAAAGACAAATACTGCATGTTCTCCCTTATATGTGGGAGCTGAAATCAACACAACATAAAACACTCAATCTGATATTTACAAAAAAAAAAAAAAAATCTGCCGGTGCCGTGGCTCACTTATCTAATCCTCTGCCTGCAGCGCAGGCATCCCAAGTTCTAGTCCCGGTTGGGGCGCCAGGTACTAGTCCCAGTTGCTCCTCTTCCAGTCCAGCTCTCTGCTGTGGCCCAGGAGGGCAGCAGAGGATGGCCCAAGTGCTTGGGTCCCTACACCTACATGGGAGACTGGGAGGAAGTACCCGGCTCCTGGCTTCGGATCCGCGCAGCGCCAGCTGTAACAGCCATTAGGGGAGTGAACCAATGGAAGGAAGACCTTTCTCTCTCTCTCTCTCTCTCTCTCTCTCTCTCTCACTTTCTATAACTCTACCAGTCAAATTAAAAAAAAAAAAAAAAAACTAACCAAATGACAAATGGAGGGAATAGGCACAATTACATAATACACTTGAAACCAAGAAAAATTTGCCTGATTTCAAGTGCAAATTCATATACTGGTAATTTTGGCAAATTTCTTAGAAATGGTAGTCATACAAATAGAATAGGCCAAAGCCCTTTCATCTCTCCCTCCACTGGCATTCCATATCCCCCTGCAAGAGCCCTGTTTGCTTACATTATCCAATTGCATATCCAATATTGCTTATCCAATAGCCCTCTCCTCCATCTTGTTTTCAAAACTGAAGCTGTACTAACTCTCTGGAGAGTACTTTTCTATTAAAATAGTCATCTGTAAAATAACTGATTTACATAGTGTTTCTTGGTCCTGGGGAAAGACAAAAGGACACTGTGCTATTTCATGTTATTTTGGAGCTATAAATAAAACTTAACTGAACTCACAGCCCAAAAGACAATGTGATATTTGACATGGAAAAAGAGAATTGTATATCCTTCTCTTGACCTATGTAGAAGTTGATGCTGGGTTTTTTTGTTTGTTTGTTTTTTATTTTTGTTATTGTTTTTTTTTTTTTTGCAAGCAAGTTTTTCTTTATAAAAATTTGGAAATCTTGCCAAAGTGTGGTTTTGCCTTTGATAATCTCAGCTGCATTCCCACCCCAATCTAACCCATCCTTAGTAACTTCTAAAGGATATTCACACATAAACATATTTTAGGATGGAGAGAGGATAAGAGATGAATTTCTTTCTACCAAATGTCTCTCCCTTCTCTCCAAATTATGGATAATGAGGCCAGGAGTGTAATTACTGAAGACGTTTGGAATGGTAATTACTGAGCTAATCTCAAAACTGGTAGTGCTGGCAGAGCAACACAACACACAGTTTAGCTGTCAGTGCCTCTTGGAAGGAGATAAACATCTCTTGTTTGCAAACTCAGATGCTGTACCAAGGAAGTTCTGTGTTAGCAAATTACCACGCAGACTGCCACTTCCAACTCCTTCGGATTTTGTAATGAGAAAGCCCATTAAGCTGGAATAACTTTAAGTTGTGGCCAGTTAACACACTTTGAAGGTAGTGGGGGCAGGTTTGCGGTCCTGTGGAATTTCACCGGAGAGCAGAAACTGCAGGGACATTCTTCGCTGTTCTCATACTAAAAAAACACCGCCCTCTGGAGTTGTACTAGATCAAGTAGAGTGGATCAAGACTGCAGAGGAGAAGGGATGTTTCCAAAGCTTGGGCACAGACGTCTGCGGAATGTACACACTTCCCATGACTTCCCACCTTGACTGGCAGAGCAGAGTTTCCATCCCAGCTGTCTGTCCTCCTCTGGCACTGCAAACCTGGTTCCTCGCCCCTGCCTTTCACCTAGAAGCCCTGGACTCGGCCTCCGCCGGGCCCCGTCCTTTTGTGACGCGAGGAGCCACAGTGCCAGCGCGCGCCCTAGGCTCACAAAGGCAGGAGGAAACCGCAAGAGCGCTCAGTGTCCCAGGCGCTTCAGGCTGGCTTGGGGGGGCTCGGGTCCTGCTTCTCCAACCCCAAGGGCCCCCGGCGGCGGCGAGCCCTGATACCTCCACCACTCACCATGGCCAGCCAGTTCTGTCTCCCTGTCGCCCCACACCCTTCATCCCTGAAACTCTTGAGGTCGCACTTCGAGGAGCTCCGAGCGGGCCTCCGCATAGCAATCCAGCGCAGCGACAAGCGGATCCACCTCGCTGTGGTCACAGAGATTAACCAGGAGAACTCGTGGGTCACGGTAGAGTGGGTGGAAAAAGGAGTCAAGAAAGGCAAAAAGATTGAGCTCGAGACCATATTCTTGCTGAATCCAGCTCTGGCTTCTGCGAAACACCCCAAGCAGGCCAGGCCCTTGCGCCCCGCGTCTCTCGTGCCATCTTCGGCCATCGGGGACCAGCGTACAGCCACGCGGTGGATGGCAAGGATCTCCCCGAAAAGCGAAACCCCCTCAGGGGACAGCCCGGCGGTGGGGGTGCCCAGCCACCCTTGCCTGGTGAAGCAGAAAAAGTCTCCCTGTGTACGGGAAATCGAGAAACTGCAGAAGCAGCGGGAGCAGCGCCGGCGGCTGCAGCTGGAAATCCGATCCAGGCGTGCCCTGGACGTCAACGCGGGAAATCGCAACCATGAGATCATGTGCATGATCCAAGAGTGCCGCAGGCACCTGGACAGAAGCCTGATGTGCAGCCGGGAGCCCCCAGAAGACCACCGGATCTGTGTGTGCGTGAGGAAGCGGCCTCTCAACCAGCAAGAGACCACCATGAAGGACCTGGATATCATCACTATCCCCTCCGACAAGGTGGTCATGGTGCACGAGTCCAAGCAAAAGGTGGACCTCACGCGCTACCTGGAGAACCAGATCTTCTGCTTCGACCATGCCTTTGACCACACCGCCTCCAACGAACTAGTGTACCAGTTCACCGCACAGCCGCTGGTGGAGTCCATCTTCCGGAAGGGCATGGCCACCTGCTTTGCCTATGGGCAGACAGGCAGTGGGAAAACGCACACCATGGGGGGAGCCTTCTCGGGAAGAGCCCAGGACTGCTCCAAAGGTATTTACGCCCTGGTGGCGCAGGATGTCTTTCTCTTGCTCAAAAACTCCACCTACGAGAAGCTAGACCTCAAAGTCTACGGGACCTTCTTTGAGATTTATGGGGGCAAGGTGTATGATTTGCTGAACTGGAAGAAGAAACTGCAAGTCCTGGAGGACGGCCAGCAGCAAATCCAGGTGGTGGGTCTGCAGGAGCGGGAGGTGCGCTGTGTGGAGGAAGTGCTGAACCTCGTGGGCCTGGGGAACAGCTGTCGGACGTCCGGGCAGACCTCGGTCAATGCCCAGTCCTCCAGGAGCCACGCGGTGTTCCAGATCATCCTCAAGTCCGGAGGGAAACTGCACGGCAAGTTTTCCCTTGTCGACTTAGCTGGGAACGAACGGGGAGCGGATACGGCCAAGGCCAACCGGAAGAGGCAGCTGGAAGGGGCGGAGATTAATAAGAGTCTGCTGGCTCTCAAAGAATGCATCCGGGCTCTGGGTCAGAACAAGCCGCACACCCCGTTCCGAGCCAGCAAGCTCACGCAGGTCCTTCGCGACTCCTTTATAGGCCAGAACTCCTCCACTTGCATGATCGCCACTATCTCACCCGGGATGACCTCTTGTGAAAACACCCTCAACACGTTGAGATACGCAAACAGAGTCAAAGAACTCACTATGGACGTAAGGTCCTACCATCGCTTTCTCTATCCTATGGGACATGAGACTCCGCAGATGCTGGAAAAACATCTCAGAAATTCCGAAGTGTCCCTTCAAAGAAATGAGTTTATGAAAACCCCTTGTATACAGAGAGAGGAGGAGAAACAGAACAAAGAAGCTGACACCTTATCCACGCCGTTAACGAAGGATGCAGCCCCTTCTCAGAAGGAATCTCCTGAATGGTGGCAGAACATCCAGGAGGCCGCTGATGGAGTAAACTATGACGTTGACTTTTGCATTGCCCAGTCCTTGTCCATTTTGGAGCAGAAAATTGGTGTTCTGACTGAGATTCAAAAGAAACTGAAATTTTTACGTGATGACTTACAGAAGAAGAGCAAAGTAGAGTGAAGGCAAAAGTCAGATGCTGGGTCTGAAAGGATGGATGTAGTTCTGCAGTTGCTACCTCTCTTGTACAGGAAAATTTTACAAACTATCTAAATATAAAGGTCCTCCTAGAATGCTTAAAAACATCTTAAAATATCCTGGTCAGAAACGGACTCTTTATTCTTTCTCTGTATTTTTATAACGTGTTTTCATTCTAGGCAGTGGTTTTCAACTGGGAGATTTTGCTGCTCCCTCCCTCCGGCCCCTGCCGCCTGCACTTCTCTACCTCAGGATTTGGCAATGTCTAGAAACCTTTTCAGTTATCACACCTGGGATTGTGGGGAGGTGGAGGATTGGGTACTGACACATAATGAGCAGAAAGTCAGAGTTACAGGCTAGCCTCCCACAACAAAAAATCATCTGGTAGAAAATAGCAATAGTACCAAGGTTGAGAAACATGGCTACAGAAGAAATAAGCTACGCTGAAACCAGATACCCTAACTTTGCAGCTGGGAAAGTAAAACACTAGATTAGAGGAATGAAAGTGAAAATACAGCAAGGGGTACACAATGGAGTAAATGTAGTGATTCTCATACATGAATCTTTCTCTGTTTCATTGTTGTGTAGACTCAAAGGCTTTCTAAGATCCTCTTATGCTGGGAAGAGGAAGGAGGGACTTTGTCTGAAGCTCTGAGTGAGTGCCTAGAATTGAGAGAGCTCCTATTTTGTCATATTTGAGTTGAAATAACAAAGTTCTTCGTTAGTTACTTGGGGTTGATTAAATAAAGTACATGTGTGTGTTTTATATAAGGAGTTTTTTTTTTTGAGGATGATGTCTTTACATTTTTACCCTCACACCAAATCAAATATTGCCTCAGCATGTGAATTGCCTTTTCACTTTTTTATGAGGTAGTTAATTATCAGAAGATATGTAGCTAATCATCAATTTCATCTTTGCTGTAATGCTTAAATTATTTAAGAAAACCTCTTTCTGCCCTAAAACATAAAGTTCTTATCCTTGGATAACTCCTAAAGGCTTTCTTGTTTTACTTCTAATCCACCCACACTGATTTTTGCATATAGTGTGAGGTATACCAGTCAGGGTTGTTTATTTTTGTTTTAGCTTGATATAGATACTCAAACAACAGACATTTATTGAAAAGACTATCCTTTTGCCATTGCACTGCATTCTAACTTTTATTGGTAATCAAATGACCATCAGGATGCTGTTCTTTTCCCCTGACATGTCCTTGTATCAAAACCACACCAAATTTTGATTATCTTCATTTCTGTCTTTATCATTCTCTCCTTTGCATTAATAATATAAATATTAGAATTAGCCTGTTGATTTGAACATGCACACACACAAGAACGGACACTTTGTTGATGAACAACTTGATGAGAACTGACAATCCCACAACTTTGAAGCTTCCAATCCACAATCTATATGATACGTTCTTCCTGGAGGATGTCTCTATCTAGTCCTTTTGTTCATTTCTCTGCTTGGGCTTTGCAGTTATCTAGGTGGATGGAGATCTTGCATACCTTTTGTTAGAACCATTGCCACATAATGTTTCTTAGGCTATCTAAATTTTAAAATTTAAAACTAAAATTTAAAACTAAAATTTTCAAGATTCATTAAATATGTTAATATACAGAAAAATTAGACTTTATAAGTGTAACTTTTAATCATGATAAATCCTCTTGGTAATTCTAATAGAATTTAAAATATTTGCGGGGATTTCTGTTAGATAAATTCATAATGTTTATGAATAATAAGTTTTATTTTCCCCTTCTAATCACTCTGCTTTGTATCAATTTTTATTGCCTTACAGCACTAAGACCCTATAATTAACATTGAATCAAAAACATCATAACAGGCATTGACCAGTTCCAATATCATAGGCAATTGTCTGGTTGCCAATATCACAAGCAATATTTTAGCAGTTAGTGTGGTTTCCTTGTGGGTTTTTTATAAATCTCATCAAATTAATACTTTTTGCCCAATGTCTAGTTACTGGGAGTGTTGAATTTTATCCTGTCTTTTCTGCATCTGTGTGGATGATCACGTATTTCCCTCCAGTCTCTAAGTGTAGTAAGTCATAACTTTTCAGTTATTAAATCAATAGTGGTTTGTGAAATAAATTCAACCTGTTTTTAAAACATCACTGGATTAGAAACCACCATGACTTGTTTAAGATCATGAGAGACATTGGGCTATAATATTCCTTTTTTATATACTTCTCAGAGATTGGGTTTAAGATAATGCTGGCTTCATAAAACAAATAGAAAAGCTATCTTCTTCTTCTATTTTCTGGAAGCATTTGCTAAAATTGCCATTAAATCATTAGTAAGTGAAAGAATTCACTGTTCAAACCAGTTGGACTTGAATTTCTCTTAATGTGAAATCTTAATCAGAGAATTTACAAATTCAATCGATGAGAAGATTTTAAGAGATTCAACTTATTTAGTGGATATAAATTTAGATTTAGTGTCTATGTTGGCTTTAATAATTTTAATTAATTTGCTGTTTTAAAAACATATTATAGTCATTATGCATCATGTCTATATTGTGGATTTCTGATTTTTCATTCCTAATAATAAGTTATGCATAATCTTTCTTATTCTTTTTAAATTATCTTATGTTTAATTTTTACAATGTATATTTATGATTTTCTTTATTATCACAAGCTTACCTCTGCACTAAATAAAGATTTCACCAAATAGTAAGTGGAAAAACTGTTGTTCCTTAAGAGCATAGACAAGGGTTATAAACAATAATCAAATCTCAAAGTCATTTTCACTAATATACGTTACATTTTTTGGTACCCTGTATATTAGTTACTACACATCATGGAAAACATAATGATGTTTGTCTTTTGGGATCTAGCTCATTTCACTAAGCATAGTAGTCTCCAATTGCATCCATTTTATTGAGAAAGGCAGGATTTCCTTCTTTTTATGGCTGGGTAGTAGTCCAGCATGTATATATTACTTATTCAGTCAGCAGTTGATGGAAATCTGGGTTAATTCCATGTCTTTGCTATTATGAGTTGAGCTGCTATAAGCATGGGTACAGATAACTCTTTCATATGCTCATTTCATCTCCTTTGGGTAAACTGCCAGGAGTGCAGTGGCTGGATCATATGGTAGTAGATCTATTAATCAGACTTCTTATATGTTTATGAATATTAGTCTCTCAAAGAAACTATTTCTATTTTATTTTCTGTATTTAGAGAAATATGTGTTTATTTTCTAATTTATTAATCCAGCTTTCCTTCTTTCTAATTTCTACATTTTCCCAAATTGTTATTTTCTATGCTTAGATAATTGATATGTCAGTTTTCTTTTTTATAATTTTATAATTTTGAATTTTCATCTAAGAAATAATTTAGATGCACCTACATTACAATTCATATTTTAGTATAAAATTCAATACTCAAATAATGTTAAGGATTTTTTCTTACTAATTTTACCAAAGTTATTAAAATAATCATTATATAGTTATGCTTTTAATTCAAGTTTATTTACCATACTGTATAAGTCTTCTGAAACATTTATGATGAAATTTTTCATTTGGTAAAAAAGATACTACATTCTCTGCTTAGTTTGGATAGTTTTAATTTTATATTTCTGGGGGCTATATTATTAGTTGCATATAAATGTAGAGGTCCTTTTATTCTCTTTGAATTTACCTCTTTATCCCTTGCAATTTTTCTTAAGTTGTGTATTTTCTAATTTTACTATAGATGTATTGATTTTCTTTTAGTTTGTATTTGCATGGTTGGTTTTACCATTCTTTTATTTTGAATCTTTTCATTCTTTATAGCTAAGGTTTATTTTTCATAAGCCATGCATAGTTGGTTTACATTCATTTTGTTTTCCTTGAATCCCATTTTAAATTCTTTTTACTGAGTACTTTTTTGTCACATTTAATATAACTCATTATACATGCATGTTTATGAATATACTATGTGCTGCCTGTTCATGCACACTGTGCCTATTTTTTTCCCCACTTATTTTCTTGCTAAGTAATAATTGAGTCACCTTTATTTTGGTGATTTTTTTCCCTTTTAATTTCCTTTTCAGTTACATAATTATACTATCTATTCATGGTTATTTTGAGTTAATTATTTTTTAAATATTTATTTATTAATTTGAAAGGCAGAGTTACAGAGAGGCAGAGGCAGACAGAGGTCTTCCATCTGCTGGTTCACTCTCCAGATGGTCACAATACTGGAGCTGTGCCAGTCTGAAGCCAGGAGCCAGGAGCTCTTCTGGGTGTCCCATGCAGGTACAAGGGGCCCAAGGACTTGCACCGTCTTCCACTGTTTTCCCACGCCATAGCAGAGAGCTGGATGAGAAGTGGAGAATCCAGGACTTGAACCAGTGCCCATATAGGATGCCAATACTGCAGGTGTCAGCTTTACTCATTATGTCACAGTGCCAGCCCCAATGAATTATTAACTATTAGTTAATGATTAAATGTTAGTGATTAATATTAAGTTGTAATTTAATTTCCACATGGAAAATGAAACTTCTCTAAATATTTTAACACATTATTTTCTTTTTTTAACTTTTATTTAATGAATATAAATTTCAAAAATACAGCTTATGGATTACAATGGCTTTCCCCCCCCATAACTTCCCTCCCACCTGCAGCCCTCCCCTTTCCCGCTCCCTCTCCCCTTCCATTCACATCAAGATTCATTTTCAAAAATTCTCTTTATATACAGAAGATGAGTTTAGCATATATTAAGTAAAGATTTCAACAGTTTGCACCCACATAGAAACACAAAGTGAAATATACTGTTTGAGTACTAGTTATAGCATTAAGTCTCAATGTACAGCACACTAAGGACAGAGATCCTACATGAGGAGTAAGTGCACAGTGACTCCTGTTGTTGACTTAACAAATTGACACTCTTGTTTATGGCATCAGTAATCACCTGAGGCTCTTGTCATGAGTTGCCAAGGCTATGGAAGCCTTTTGAGTTCACCAACTCTGATCATATTTAGACAAGGTCATAGTCAAAGTAGAAGTTCTCTCCTCCCTTCAGAGAAAGGTACATCCTTCTTTGATGACCTGTTCTTTCTACTGGGATCTCACTCGTGGAGATCTTTCATTTAGGTCCTTTTTTTTTTGCCAGAGCGTATTGGCTTTCCATGTCTGAAATACTCTCATGGGCTTTTCAGCCAGATCCACATGCCTTAAGGTCTGATTCTGAGGCCAGAGTACTGTTTAGGACATCTGCCATTCTATGAGTCTGCTGTGTATCCCACTTCCCATTTAACACATTATTTTCTCCAGCTTTTATCATTTATTTCTGTATTATTTACATGCTTTGCATATAGCACCATTTTTTTATTTTTATTTTTTTGACAGGTAGAGTTAGACAGTGAGAGAGAGGGAGACCAAGAGAAAGGTCTTCCTTTGCCGTTGGTTCACCCCCGAAGTGGCTGCTACGGCCAGCATGCTGTGGCCCGCACACCTCGCCAATCTGAAGCCAGGAGCCAGGTGCTTCCTCCTGGTCTCCCATGTGGGTGCAGGGACCAGGGGCCTGGGCCATCCTCCACTGCACTCCCGGGCTAAAGCAGAGAGCTGGACTGGAAAGAGGAGCAACCAGGACAGAATCCGGCGCCACTACCAGGACTAGACTCCAGGTGCTGGTGCTGCAGGCAGAGGATTAGTCTAGTGAGCCGTGGCACCGGCCACCATATTGTATAAATAGTGAATGTCTACTTAAATTATTTTTATGAAATTCTTAATTCTTTATTACCATAAATTTCATTCTATACTCATTCCATCT